TATTTTTATGATTTATAAATTTTTAAAAGAGGAGTAGCATTTTCTGTAAAGCCAATTTTTATGGAGATTTAAAGCCGACGTATTATACGTTACGTATAATACGTGCAGATCGGATTGTCCTAAAGTCCGGAACGAAATATAGTTGAAAGGTTTTCCCTTAATGGCACTGCATATACAATCAGGTTGAATCGCTTAACATCAATTAAAATCTTTGACTTATTCGAATAAGTTATGAATTCCTGGTAGACACAATAATAATGGTTCGGTTGGTCGGCCTATTAACGGCCCGCTCTGGTCTGCAGAGCTGAAGAATCAGCTCGGTCAACAAAAGCCTTATCCGAGTAACTAAATAACGATAAGCATGATTTAATGTTAAGATTTTAGTTTTTATAAAGTCGATACTACACATAAAATAACATAACAGCTAACGCGTCAGTTATCACCGACGCGAGAATCATAATGATAAGGTAGATGCAAACAATGAAAGGTAATACGGGAACTTTTAGAAAATTTCTTTGGAAAACTCTAGAATACTAGAATCCTAGAATCCTAGAATCCCACGGGTGTCAAAATTAACAACACCATGTATGGGAATTGTGGCTGCTGCGGCTAATTGTGTGGGATTGAATATGAATTCAATATCGTTTAATCCATATCTGCTTTAAGTATGTGTAACCTGTTTTGACATAATTATATACTTTTCAAAGTGTTACAATTATGGAACGAACAATATAGAGATAGCATATCCGAGACAATGGACAAATTGGTATATAGAAGGAAACTACAGATAGCTAATTTCACATGAGAATATTTAAGTAAGTAGATCAAGGTCTCTCGGTAGATTAATAGAATTCTGGATTTGATACTATATGGTAAGTAAATTAGTAATATTAGGTCATATAACCAATTAAAATGGGGGAGGGTGTAAGCTCTAATTAATTGATCTCAACCTAGCCCTACTTCACACCCAAATTTAACGATTTAACTATAGATAGGTCTATTTTTAATTAGATTTAGAAATGTAGATAGATAGATCTTTGAGTAAATCGAAAGATTTAACCTTTAAATCTAATAAATAATAAACACCGACTCATATCGTCCTACGACTAATGTGCCGAGGTTTCAAACAAAAAAAAAAGAAAAGCAGGACTATTAAGACTATTGAAATAATAGACGCATTAGTCTTTTAATCTAGTCGCGACGCGTAAAAACTCTGATACACAAATTTGTATCCGGAAGATTGTTTAGTCATGAAAGTTTTTGGCATATGCAAAATGAATCTCGAATGAAGTTATAAACATATGAAAAATATATGAAAAGCAAAAAAAAAAAAAAAAATCCCCCGAGGCATTATTTTCCGAACCAAGCACGTGATTATGGGTCCACCAGGGACGAGGAAGTTGTACGATCTTCAGTATATCGTATTCCTGGAACTCATTTGCAAAATATATACCTTACAATATAACTTACAATATAAATCACATTAAGAATTTTAAGAATTCTTTCAAGGAAGATCATATTTTTTTTTTTTTTATGTAGAAAAACAGGAAATGCAACCTTTAAGCATATAAGCCGTAGCAATACAGTTACTATAGTTGGTTATTGATAGACCAATATTATGTATGCTTATCAATTTTGACAACCATTTCTTTTTCACATGTAATAAATATAAATAAGCTGTTGTTTCAAATGAAATAAACTAAAGAATTTTTTTTGGGGCATAAATATATGCATTCACACCACAATCACGCACAAGGCACCTATTGAACTAATCTTATTTTGCTATTAATCTTGTAAATAAAAATCGTCTTTTTTCCGCATTATCGAGTTTCTTCTGTTATTTATGATCTGTCGCCGTTTAGGTTGTCGCTGTTTTTGCTTGTAAAAGAAGGTAATTATTCTATCTTTTCTTACTATGCATGCGGGTACATTTCTTCCTTTCGCTTATTTTCTATTATCCAGCAGACAAAAAATCAATAAATAAAAGAAAATAATTGGAGAAAAAAGTGGAAAAAAAAAATCTCGAAATTTGAATCTTGATTCAAAGTCCAAAAGTGTAAGACTATTTATAAGTGTAACACCACCGACATAATAATATATAAATATAATGCGTAATAAAATTTGACTCACCCGCTTTTCTTTCATTTATTTCCCGCCTTAAACTTTAACTCGGACAACCAATAAACATTTCCATGCTTTCTCTCTGTTTACTTGTGTTGCAAACATTTAAATACTTCTTTCTAGACCTTAAAAGAGATAACAAACAAACAAATAGATAAATACACCACATCTTCCTTTGGCTATTTATTATATATACAATGTCAAAGCTCCTCAGAAACTTCCTGAGGAAGAAAACTTTACAAAACGCAACTTATGAAGAAACTTCTTACTCTGACATGGAAGGTTCCGTTTATGGTGCACTGCCGGTTGACTCTCCAATGGCTTATGATGAACCTATAAGAGATTTTAAACTGGTTTTTGAAGGTGAAAATAAAGATACTTTTGTTCTTGTACCTGGTTTATTACCCTATGACACAATTGAGATTCCACTATTTGGTGGATTTACTATTGCTGATTACTGGGGAGATGTGAAGGAACAAATAGAGGACCCTTGTATCACCAGTCCTAGCCCTTTTGGTGTAAGTATATTTTTAAAAATATCTCTAACATTTATATTTATAGATTGAAAAAATATTCACATATGCACTATACCCCTTTTAGTCTCTTCACGATCGTGCTGTAGAACTATATTATCAAATTAAGGGTGGGCAAGTGGTATGTTTCCTCTTTTATTGATATTAATTACTTTTTGTGTTTTTTTGTGTTTTTTTGTGTTTTATGTGCTTAAAATTTTTATTTATCCATCTTTTATCAGGATTATGGTCTCGTTCATTCCCATCAGTTTTGTCATGGGCAATTAGGTGAAACATATGAAGGTTTGGTGCCGAATTGGAGTCCCGACAATCCTATAGTCCTGATCGGTAATTTTATCTTTCATATTTTTATTATTAGCCTTTTTACTGCTATTTAATTCATTTTTGGATCTTTATTAGGCAAAGGCTATGGTGCAACAACCGCTCTTTATCTTCAACATCTTCTTTCTACTAATTTTTTCGGACAACACACGGCCGGTTGAAATGTAGTTAAGATAAACACAATGAGGATCCAAATAATGCTTATCTTTTTCATCACCAGCATAACGCATCCTCGCACCCTCCACGGACCAGTCAACCAAAAAATTATCGCCAAAATAAGAAAATCTGCTACGCGCCGAAAGGGCACTCCACAAAGATTGTTCACCACCTTCGCTTTTCGAGGCGAGACCCCATTTGTCATTCAATCTGAAGTTGAAAAGTCGTTCGAGGAAGGTGAAATAACAAATGAGGTGAATAAGGGATAATAATAATTGTAGTATCGAGAAAGGATGTACGATGCATTTTGAGCCAGGTTCAAGACCAAGATAGTAAGGGAGGGTAGAGCCGCGGTGTGGAGCAGACCAACAAATAACACCTTTAATCATTTGGCCGGCCGTGTGTTGTCCGAAAAAATTAGTAGAAAGAAGATGTTGAAGATAAAGAGCGGTTGTTGCACCATAGCCTTTGCCTAATAAAGATCCAAAAATGAATTAAATAGCAGTAAAAAGGCTAATAATAAAAATATGAAAGATAAAATTACCGATCAGGACTATAGGATTGTCGGGACTCCAATTCGGCACCAAACCTTCATATGTTTCACCTAATTGCCCATGACAAAACTGATGGGAATGAACGAGACCATAATCCTGATAAAAGATGGATAAATAAAAATTTTAAGCACATAAAACACAAAAAAACACAAAAAAACACAAAAAGTAATTAATATCAATAAAAGAGGAAACATACCACTTGCCCACCCTTAATTTGATAATATAGTTCTACAGCACGATCGTGAAGAGACTAAAAGGGGTATAGTGCATATGTGAATATTTTTTCAATCTATAAATATAAATGTTAGAGATATTTTTAAAAATATACTTACACCAAAAGGGCTAGGACTGGTGATACAAGGGTCCTCTATTTGTTCCTTCACATCTCCCCAGTAATCAGCAATAGTAAATCCACCAAATAGTGGAATCTCAATTGTGTCATAGGGTAATAAACCAGGTACAAGAACAAAAGTATCTTTATTTTCACCTTCAAAAACCAGTTTAAAATCTCTTATAGGTTCATCATAAGCCATTGGAGAGTCAACCGGCAGTGCACCATAAACGGAACCTTCCATGTCAGAGTAAGAAGTTTCTTCATAAGTTGCGTTTTGTAAAGTTTTCTTCCTCAGGAAGTTTCTGAGGAGCTTTGACATTGTATATATAATAAATAGCCAAAGGAAGATGTGGTGTATTTATCTATTTGTTTGTTTGTTATCTCTTTTAAGGTCTAGAAAGAAGTATTTAAATGTTTGCAACACAAGTAAACAGAGAGAAAGCATGGAAATGTTTATTGGTTGTCCGAGTTAAAGTTTAAGGCGGGAAATAAATGAAAGAAAAGCGGGTGAGTCAAATTTTATTACGCATTATATTTATATATTATTATGTCGGTGGTGTTACACTTATAAATAGTCTTACACTTTTGGACTTTGAATCAAGATTCAAATTTCGAGATTTTTTTTTTCCACTTTTTTCTCCAATTATTTTCTTTTATTTATTGATTTTTTGTCTGCTGGATAATAGAAAATAAGCGAAAGGAAGAAATGTACCCGCATGCATAGTAAGAAAAGATAGAATAATTACCTTCTTTTACAAGCAAAAACAGCGACAACCTAAACGGCGACAGATCATAAATAACAGAAGAAACTCGATAATGCGGAAAAAAGACGATTTTTATTTACAAGATTAATAGCAAAATAAGATTAGTTCAATAGGTGCCTTGTGCGTGATTGTGGTGTGAATGCATATATTTATGCCCCAAAAAAAATTCTTTAGTTTATTTCATTTGAAACAACAGCTTATTTATATTTATTACATGTGAAAAAGAAATGGTTGTCAAAATTGATAAGCATACATAATATTGGTCTATCAATAACCAACTATAGTAACTGTATTGCTACGGCTTATATGCTTAAAGGTTGCATTTCCTGTTTTTCTACATAAAAAAAAAAAAAATATGATCTTCCTTGAAAGAATTCTTAAAATTCTTAATGTGATTTATATTGTAAGTTATATTGTAAGGTATATATTTTGCAAATGAGTTCCAGGAATACGATATACTGAAGATCGTACAACTTCCTCGTCCCTGGTGGACCCATAATCACGTGCTTGGTTCGGAAAATAATGCCTCGGGGGATTTTTTTTTTTTTTTTTGCTTTTCATATATTTTTCATATGTTTATAACTTCATTCGAGATTCATTTTGCATATGCCAAAAACTTTCATGACTAAACAATCTTCCGGATACAAATTTGTGTATCAGAGTTTTTACGCGTCGCGACTAGATTAAAAGACTAATGCGTCTATTATTTCAATAGTCTTAATAGTCCTGCTTTTCTTTTTTTTTTGTTTGAAACCTCGGCACATTAGTCGTAGGACGATATGAGTCGGTGTTTATTATTTATTAGATTTAAAGGTTAAATCTTTCGATTTACTCAAAGATCTATCTATCTACATTTCTAAATCTAATTAAAAATAGACCTATCTATAGTTAAATCGTTAAATTTGGGTGTGAAGTAGGGCTAGGTTGAGATCAATTAATTAGAGCTTACACCCTCCCCCATTTTAATTGGTTATATGACCTAATATTACTAATTTACTTACCATATAGTATCAAATCCAGAATTCTATTAATCTACCGAGAGACCTTGATCTACTTACTTAAATATTCTCATGTGAAATTAGCTATCTGTAGTTTCCTTCTATATACCAATTTGTCCATTGTCTCGGATATGCTATCTCTATATTGTTCGTTCCATAATTGTAACACTTTGAAAAGTATATAATTATGTCAAAACAGGTTACACATACTTAAAGCAGATATGGATTAAACGATATTGAATTCATATTCAATCCCACACAATTAGCCGCAGCAGCCACAATTCCCATACATGGTGTTGTTAATTTTGACACCCGTGGGATTCTAGGATTCTAGGATTCTAGTATTCTAGAGTTTTCCAAAGAAATTTTCTAAAAGTTCCCGTATTACCTTTCATTGTTTGCATCTACCTTATCATTATGATTCTCGCGTCGGTGATAACTGACGCGTTAGCTGTTATGTTATTTTATGTGTAGTATCGACTTTATAAAAACTAAAATCTTAACATTAAATCATGCTTATCGTTATTTAGTTACTCGGATAAGGCTTTTGTTGACCGAGCTGATTCTTCAGCTCTGCAGACCAGAGCGGGCCGTTAATAGGCCGACCAACCGAACCATTATTATTGTGTCTACCAGGAATTCATAACTTATTCGAATAAGTCAAAGATTTTAATTGATGTTAAGCGATTCAACCTGATTGTATATGCAGTGCCATTAAGGGAAAACCTTTCAACTATATTTCGTTCCGGACTTTAGGACAATCCGATCTGCACGTATTATACGTAACGTATAATACGTCGGCTTTAAATCTCCATAAAAATTGGCTTTACAGAAAATGCTACTCCTCTTTTAAAAATTTATAAATCATAAAAATA